GGATTAAGGCAAAATGGCGGGCTAGTGTTACACATAATACCATCCAAGAAACTGAAGCCTCTTTCTTCAGTCAAGGCTTGCAAATAATTTCAGATAGGCATTTGTGTAGGGAGGGGAAAGAAAAAATACTTCTGCAGATATGCAGTCTTTGTCCCGAGTGGGAGGAAACGCTCCTCAAAATCGCTGATCGAGTCAAATCACAGCACCTTTCCCCCCACTTCAAAAGAATTTCCTCCTATTTCAATGAAGTTCCATATTGCTTTCATGAAAAACGCACTCCATTGGTAATTACGTCAGAGTGCATAAAAAAGGAATAGCTGTCAATATGTTCCGTTAGTTTGAAATGAAAAGCCCAAGTAGTCAAGCTAGAAAGCTGCCAACTAGAGGGACCAAGTTATCACACAATTAGCCCAAATGCCGATTCTTGACAAAAAAGGCTCAGGCATATGTACCTTTACAATGATGAAACACCCTCGAATTACTTCAATTGTAATAAAGTTGTAAAATGAGTGGCTCTCGATAAACCAGTGAATGCGAATTGCTGTTTTTGTTAACAAAATAGAGGAGTACCTTTGCTTTTCGGCAGCATATAGATATTTCTCCAAATGTGTCTGAGCTCTGAGGTTTTCTCACCTCCGAGTTCAGCCCTTATATCACAGGTCTAATTGGGCACTGTCTTCGTTAAAGGTCATTCGAGTTATTTCAGTTAGAGAACTAATGTTTTGCAAAAAGGAATGCATTTGAACTTTTAAACGGGAGTAGATTGAAAAAGTCAAAAATCCTCCCAAAGGAAGAGTCAGAAAAACTCGTCCACTTACTACTCACGAAATTCTTAACAACTCTCGTACTTCACCATCACAAACGGCTCAGGTAGAAGGCCCTTAAAGTTTTTAGGCAGTAAATGGGGGACTCCTCCAGAGGATGTGACTGAAATCATTCGCTCCCTTTCTTGAACTAATGGTACAGTTCATTTACAACCATCCATCCTAAGACCGTAAGCAGGCAGCTCAGCTGTTTGAGCTTCAAATTACCACACCTGTAGGCTTTGGTAATGAGGTTCACTTGAGCCCACGCCATCCAGACGTGCAATAGGGTATCCACAGTACATTTCTATGAATTTATTCCATTTGAGGAACTCAGAAGCATGGTAATCAGAGGTAATGCGATACATTCTAAAGTGCTAAGAAGCTCATTATCACTGAAGGTCAGGAAAAGCGTTGAATATTCTGATGTTAACAGGGTTATGTATCAAAAATGTCCAAAAACACATATATGCTCGAGATTCAGAACTTACGAGCTATTCCGGATAAATTCATCTTCATCACATTTTTGTGGGTGAATTCTTCCTCATCATCAGATGAATCTGAATCCTCTCCCGATTCCGTATCTGGTTCATGTTTCTCGGCGGATGGAAAATTTGATTGCAGCCGACTGCCCTCGTCCACATAGAACCTTTCCGATGGAGGATGCTCTCCATCATCCGATTCAGTCACAACATCCTAAAATACCTGGTGATACAGGTCATCGCTGCAACTCACGTGATAACCCCATTACTCCTTTCCACCAACGAACTACCATTATTCTGTCAAAATTTCTCAGTAGACTATATTTTCAGCTGAATCTACATCGTTTCTGACACAAAAGCGTTTCTGAACTGAATCAAGTACCAAACGGCATTTTACAGTGGGAATCGAGCCAGTTGTTTTTGAAGAGCTACGAGCAGAAGTTGAGGCATTTCGATTATTTTAAATTAATTCAATGAGAGAAAGAAAGTTAACCTTCCCTTTGGCAAGTTAGAGTGCATGCGAACGTCGTAACAGGAGTAGATCGAAAAAGTCAAAGAGCCTCTCAGAGGGAGAGTCCGAAAAACTTGTCCATTTACTGCCCATGGAATTCCCTTATTCAGGAACTCTTACTTAACATTCACAAACAGCTTAGGTAGAAGGCTCCTGAGGTTTTCTGAGTGGTGAATGAGAGAGTCCTTTTAGGGATATGATTGAAAGCCTCGAAAGCAAAGAAAAGTTCTTCCCCGAAAAAAATTTAACTCAAAAATTTGTAGGGAACTCTGCATTGAATACCGTGATTTAATCTTTTGGGTTCTTCATATTTTACAATAACGATTGCAAGACGTTCCCCTATTTACCTGTTCCGAGACCTCATTCACCGGTGATCAGGATGCTCCTGATAAAATAGGGTACCTTGCGTTGTGGTCCCACTGGTCCTTGATCGAATAAACTTTTTTGCATGGGTGAATCGCTAGGATCTGATGAAATGCCAATTGGAATAGAAGGTGCTTGAGGAGCATTGGATAAGGTGGCTCGCAAGATTCTGGACACTACAACAGCTTAACGACGAATCTCAGAACCGAGAAATGACATAGCTACTTACGGTGTAAAGGCTCGGATAAACGCTGCTTGGATGAGTGGAAAAAGCCCAAAGGCATCGTCCGCGAGTTACGGTGCGCAAAATCTACAAAGTATTAGCGAGGCTCACGACGGCCTACGTCCAGTGCTGACCATAGTTAGTATCCCGGAAACTTCACTTAACATTTCTGATGATGTTTAGATGGACTTGCGGTGGGATCGGGTTAGAAACGAGGGTGTCAGAACGGTCATGCAGACAGGGTACTGTGCTGAAGATGAGAGATTAGCGCTTGTGATTAGATGTGCGAAGGATGCGATGACATTCAGTTAGAGAAACGAATGAGTTCAAAGCTAAAGGTAAGCGACCAGCCTTCAAAGAAGAGGGGGATTTATCCTAAGCCAAGGTAAGGGCAGCAGATAATGCAGTCCGAACGAAATAGGGACCAAGGAGAACGCCGGACCCTGCAGTATTGTCGCTGGGAAGAAGAAAGGAACATGTTCTACGTTGCCGTACCCAACAGTCAGAAAAGAAATGAAAGAAAGCTTACCTGAGTTGCGGGAACCTCATTCGATGCATCAGACTTCGCCGGTGTTGAAATGATGCTTTTCAACGAGCTGCAGACTGCCGCTTCATCTGGAGACGATTCCAGAATTTTTGGTGAGACGAGCTTATTAGTC